GTTCATAGAAACTCTAATGATCTCGTTTATTTAGTTGCTGAAGAGAACATTGTTCAAGTGCTTTTAGCTTTAGCTGGTCACTAACTATTCTATAAAAAATACTATATTAGATCATATGCTAAATATTTAGGCATCAACATTATATTATAAACAAGAACTTGTCAGATGAAGATAATCTTCCCTAGATTAGTAGGAAAGATGGAAAAAGCCTGAAAATAAGTTGAAGCTCTAGATCGCTATACTTATCTTGAAAACCGATGGGAATAAAAAGCAAGCGAACTGTCAAATTTATAAAACCGACCACTTTCTTAAGATGGCATAAAACGACAACAAATCGTCTTTGTATGACAAATCGCAGCGATAGAAATCATACAGAATCGTAATTATTCTTTTAAGATTCGACAATAAAAAAACAGGATAACAAACAACTAACGAAAAAATCGTCGTGTTGAAAGCGGAAAAACGAATCGAATAAATATTTTTCTTCAAGAATGCTAACCAACTTTGAAGTAAACAATCGAAGCAAAACAATCACTAAATTTATTCTAAAGTTTTACAGTTGTGTAGTAACTCACAACTGAAATCGTTCATGCTTAAAGGGATAATCACGCAAGTGAATTTTTACCGACACTATTATAAACTATACTTTGGTAGGCTCCGTTACGATCACGCTGTATTAATGCCTGAACCGGAGGAACGTCGGAGACGTGAAGCAAAAAGGTGTCTGACTCCTTCTTATCGCGTTAAACTACGCCTTCTTGCTCTCTTATTAGATATACTATCTACCTTTTTCTCTTTGGGGTGTGCTGTCGCCAGTGATAATATACTACGATCAACACCAGTTGATGCATGTATTAATATACCTTCCTAAGTCTTCTAACATTCTTTTTTACATCCATGTTCCATCATTCTCGCTTCTCATGCTGAGCTACTTTGCTCTTGAACAACTTTCCTTGGGCTTTCTTCATGTCTATCGGTTATATGAGCCCATTTACGTCACTTGCTTTATTCTCACTCTGATTCATGGCGATTCTGAGGCTGCCTACTCTTTGTAATTTAACTGGGATCACGGTCTTTTTTTTTTCACTCCCTTTCCGACCTTTCTTACTTATGAATTTAACTACCACTCAATATCTGCATGTTTCTCTTCACTATCATATATATTTGGTCCTATTTGTTGGCTCCCAATTTTCTTGCACATTTTCTTCTTACAGTTATCTGATTATCTCTTTCCTCAATTCATCTATATCATTTCGCCTTTCCCTGCTGCTTATTCCCTCTCATGCTTCTCTCTCCCCATTTACATAGTTCTTGTGGCAGGCTGACAATACGACCTGTAATTGATCCAATCAAGAGTCGTTTCTATCCTCTCACTTGCCATTATGCACGCATCTTCTTGTGAATTGAAATAACTCGTAGTTTTAGACGCTAACATAAAATCAATACTATTCCGTGACTTCAAGCAACATCAAACCGTGGAGGTCGTTTGGAATCACGCTTTACGTCCATTCAATTTTGATGTCGCTATACCTCTCTAGAGCTACCATAAGACCTTCTCTCTCCATACAATGCTCCGTCCTCCCTTCTTTGGCTCCTATCTGCTACCTCAGTTTACACTTATCGCCATTCTAACATTTTCTCTTTTATACTCCGACTATAATTCACCAACTTTTCCTTACTTCTACACGTTTTATATTCATCACTCATCATCACATCTATACCTCTCACAGTTTAATCATCGATCACTAAGTAGTCTTTCCCATCATGTTGCAGTTAACCTGACCTCATGCAACCTTATTGCATCCTGAACCCTTATACGTTTTCTTTAGAAAGTCCATTACTGGCGATACATCTCTTAACCCTCGTATCATAGATTTCCGAGAGTATTTCTGCGTGTCAATGTCCCGATTACGCAATTATCATTAAGAGACTCTACCATACAATTGAATTACACTTCCTAACTTCACCCTCTCGTAAAAACCTTAAATATCGACCTAGACGCAATGTTCGTCCCGCAAGACACACTTTATCGGCCTCATATCCTTTCTTAAAAAATTCTCTTCTATATCACTTCCGGTTGCCTCTCCAGCCCCTTTCCTAATCCCTCCTTCTACTCTACACGCTTTGCACCCATGCTGTTGGGTTACAAAACAAAAAGTTTGGTTTAAGTTTCTTCGTTTATTTGTTTTTCGTCTTCTATATTCATTATCCTTTCTCTGTTCTATCATCCTATCCCTCCTTTCTTCTAATATGCATTTTTTCCGCTATCCTTCTTCCCTCCACCCCTTCTAGATTTCATCTCTCCTGCACCATTTACTTCTCACGTTCTCATGTTCCTCTTATCCTTTTTCCTATTCTGTCTACTCCCTCTTCCTCCTTCCTCCCTCCTATACTATATATATATCACATAGTAGCCTACAAACCTCTCCCCCCTCACCTCCTATCGGCTTTTGCCAATGATAGCACTGCACCATGTTATTCTACTTTATGCTCCTTATAGGGACTGAACCCACGAAAGGTCCACCATGTCCGACTAAACACTCGTCGGTTGAGGCTCCTCCCTCCCCATCCTTCGCTTCAGACTTAGAATTTCGGGCGCCTGACGTTCTGTGAGTATTGGTAGCTCTCCAACCCAATCCCACCACTAGCACACCTTCCCCTCACATCTCCACAAAAACACCCCCCCTCCCCCTAACCCTCTCTCCTGCCTCCCCTACCCCACCACCTCCCCCCCTTCCCCCCTCTCCTACCCCTATCTTCTTCCACGCCAATCCCCAACAAACAATCACCCTTACCAACCAAACCCCCCCAAACCCCCCCACTACCCCCTTCCTAACCACCTCTCCCTCGATCACATATTCGGTCACCTTGCTCTGTATATTCGTTTATGGCCTCCCCTAATTCACTTCATCCTAATTTTCACCTACTCCACAAGAAAACCTTCCTTCTCTGCTACTTTCATACATACTTTTACTTATTTTCCAATTTCTTTCAAAACAAGAGAAAAGATGCTGGGGCGAACATGAACACCAGTCAACTATCGATCTTCCTCCCCATATCCCTCGTTGTTATAGGGCTCAGAGGCCGGAGAACCGAAATGGAGACCTTGGCACATACTACCTAGAGAGGACCGTTTTCCACCAGGGCTCAATCCTCTAAATTCGGCGGTGCGTTCCGTTTCTCTTTCGTCGGCCTCATGGGGACCTTCCTCCTATCATTCCCGGCTAATCCCATAACCACCTTTGACCCTCTCCCGATACCAATGACCTTTTTACCTACCTATCCCTGTCATCTATCCTTCCCACAGTCTCCAACTCCTCCTAAACCCCGCGCCTGAAAGCCCAATATCAATTTTCCAAACCTACTTGCTCTCCTTAACCTTCTAAGTCTCTCTAGCTATCCCTCACCTACTATCCTTCTACCTTCTTTCTGTCCTATCCTCCCTCTCCTTCCCAACACCTCCCCTTCCAACCCTCTCTCCCTCCTCCTGTCCTCCGCCCTGCCATCCTTCTTCTCGGCCACGTTCCTCCCAAACATTTTTCCCCAAACAACATTCAGATTCTCCTTCCACCGCTTCACCAAACTCTCATCCCATCCATCCTTCTCAAAATCTAAATCCTTACCCATCCAACCATCTCCAACAACCGAACACCTCCTAACCCTCCTCGCCAACTCTTCTTCTCCTATGCCATATCTCACTGCCTTATCTTCCTCCTATCCTCGACATAATCTGTTTCCCCCACATGCCCCCTATTCGACACAGCCTCCCTAGACCCTCCCACTGATCTTCCCTCTTCTACCTCCCATCTAGAACCTAATTCCCTTATCTCTGCCTTTTTTCCTTCTATCCTTCTATTCCACCCGAGAAGCACGGAGGTCCCGAGAAGGAACGCGCCGTATCCTGACAGGCTTGCACGACGAAACAGGAAATAAAATAATTTAACTCTTCAGGAAGACCCAACGTTCTCGTACCAGTGATGGCGAACGGTGGCACGATCATGAGATCACCGACACACTCGGGCACCGCTAAAGCACAAGACACAAACTCATAATGGTGACCAGCAGCAGCAAATGAACGTCCTACCTGGTAAGTCGGCGGTCTGCCAATGGAGTAGCCGGCGTGTGGTCGACTGCTCCGTGCTTTCTAATTATTTTTATCATTACTTCCTCTGGTAGGACCCGTCCCCACTTCGTCCTCTTCTACTTCCTTAACCGATCGGTCCTCCTTCTTTTCTTTCATATTCATACCGTTTATCTTACAATATGCCTCTCGGTTATAACTACCTAACCACTAACCTCAGCCTATACCCGCAACCGCTTTCTCCTCCATCCTTGCTCCTCCCTCTCCCTTATCCGTCTCCTTCAACTCTCGGTCCGTATACATTTCGCTATCATACCTCACCTTTTGGATGTTCTACTATTACCATCCTCCAGTCTTCCTCTTATCCCTACTTGCTTCCATCCTCTTTATGACAATTATATTAGTCATAGTATCGTAACACATTGGTAAACATCATTAAAGTGCAATAGTCGTCAATAAATCCTCTATCCTGACATCAGAAATTTAAAAAAAATTTTTGTAAATATTCGCTAAATTTTTTAAGGAGACGGTGTCGTCGTCTGCTTGGATTTAGCGCTCCAGTTGTGTGCCAGAGGTGCTCCTGCTCCGAAGTGGTGCTATTTGTTGGATCTAGGCATATATGCTGCCTTCCGTCCACACATACCATACCTCCTTCTTTCTCTCACGTCAGTAGACCCCGTACCTCATTCCCTCCTAACCATTCCTTCCGTCATCCTTCTTTCCTTCGCTTTGCTATCTTCGCTATGCTTTTCCTCCCTCTCTCTTCCCACGCCGTCTAGCGCCACCTGCCCTCCTTGCCCCGACCCACTTACACCCCCTCACTTTCCCACTAGCCGTCTACACCCCCTGCCTTCCTTGGTTCCCCACCTTATCCTTCACTTCCCTCTCCCCACTGCCGTTCACGCCCCCCCACTCCCCT